AGATTCCTTTTTTTAAATTTATGAACTGCTGTTGGAAGGGACATGGCCTCTTTGCCTAGGAGGAATCATTAGAAAGAGGGCCTGATAACTTTACTCCCAGACTAAATGAATATTTCAGCATTTGGAGACATAATGATGATTTATAACAATTTCTAAATTTATAACAATTTCTAAAGAAATAATTTCTAAAGAAACTTGGTTAAGTAAATAAAAATTGTTTTGGCATATGAATCTGCTTTACCACATGTTGCATGTCATTTAGACATTTTGGCATTCTAAAATTAAAGATATATCTCAGAATGAATAAATGTAGAAATACATGCTAAACTAATTGTATATATAATGAAATTTGTGTTCCTGAAATGATTCTGCCAGAAGTTTATATTTATTTTATTCATATAGTATTTATTAAGAGGTTACTGTGTGCCCGTGGTAAATGCTAGGCATACAAAGACAAAAAAGAAACTGTGTTAGCCTCCAAGGATCTTACGTTGAGGTGTAGGGGTGGGGTGGGGTGGGGAATAGGAACATGTACACAGGTAAAAATAAGATATATACAAAATAATTTTGGGGAGAGGGAAGAGTACTAACAATCATGTGGGGGAGATCACAAAAGGAAAAAGACTTTAGTTCGATAATTTATATATATACGTGTGTGTGTATATATATTTATACATATGTATGTATGTATGTATGCATGTATGCATGTATGTATGTACTTGTAAAGAAAGGCTAGAAGGTAGCACTTGAAGTGAGCCTAAAAGGAATCTAGGGGTTCCAACAGGTGAAGATGATATAGATGATATATTCTGTACTGGGGACAACTTGTACAAAGGCATACAGTAGAAGGTGAGATGTTCTGTGTAAGGAATAACAAGTTAGTTCTTTGGGTAGAATATAGGGTGTATGAGAGTAAAATAAAATCAGTGTAGAAAAAGGTAGATCGGATTCAAATTGTGAAGGACTTTGAATCTCACACATTCACATTTTATCATAGAATCATAAGGGAGCCATAGAAGCTTCTTGAGTAAGGGAGTGATATGTTCATACTTGCACTCTAGGAATATCACTTTGCAGTTATGTGGAGGATGAATTGGGAAAGGGGAATACGGGATGCAGGGAGGATAATGAGGACATTACTGATAGAGTCCAGGTGCGAGGTGATGAGATCCTGAACTAGGGGGGTGGCTGTATGAGCAGAAGGAAGAGTACTGATCTGAGTGACACCACAGAGATAGAATCAACTGAATGGATATGGGGGATGTGGTCAAGTAATAGGCCAAGAACATCTCCTGAGACTGTGAACACGAATGACTGGAGGCATTGTGACTGTAGGGCAGCCTTTCATTTCATACATGAAGAAACTGAGGCCTAGAGGAGTTATGTGACTTGCCTGGAGTCTCATGCATAGTCAGTGGCAGTTTTAAACATAGATCCTTTGTCAATGACAGTCTTGAACCCAGATCCTTCGACTCCAAACCCAGTGGTCTTACTATCATGTAAAGTTGCTGAAAAAAGGAAGTTAATGAGGGGTGGGTGTCTGTAGGAAAGGTAGGGGGAAGTAGTTGGGAGGAGAAAATGAATTCTGTTTGGAAAAATCCAAGTGGAGATGTCCAGTAGGCAGCTGGTATTGTGTTACTTCAGGAGAGAGATGAAGGCAGGGTTTGTATATAGATTGGGGAATTGTCTACATAGAGGTGATAATTGAACCCCTGAAAGCTGATTGTCAAGCAAGAGAGTATGGACAAAAAGAGAAAAGGAACTAGGTTTTATTCTGATGTTTTAGTAGATCAGATGTGACTGGATGGTAAATAGTGGAAATCTTTATCCCTAATGGCAGGAGGCTCATTTGTTCAAATGTCTTCATTCTTACATAATTTAAAGGGCTCACATCACTCTGTACTACCACAGTATTCTTTTCTATTCCTTAGCACTTCTAATAGAGCTCACCTTTTTGAAGTTATTGATTTGAAATTATGACTTTATGAGTATTTTAGGATTATAATCACCATTAAAAGGGTAAAATTGATCTTACCAAAATAGAGATTTAATTTAAAGTAGAGAGAACTTGGTTATAGGGTTTAGTAGACTAGAAACAAGATCTAGGAGAGAATATGAAGTATCTCATGTTTTATTTTTTTAAAAAATTCTCAGTTTTATTTTACCACAGATTATGGGAAACAAAGCAGTTTTTATTAGCCTCTTATATAGGAACATTACCATGAGGCAATTTTTCCTCTTCCAAGATCCAACCAAAATGTAAGGTAGAAAAGTTCAATGACCATTTCAATGAGTCTGGTCATTCCAAAGATTCTTAGATGGTTCTTGAATGTCTTTTAGTTCTGTAACTAAGTTGCTGAATTGAATAGATAGCAAGTCAAATAATTTAGGTCTTTCAAGCTATTCTAAAATCTTATCCTACCTGAGTCTTAGTATCCTTCATTCTACAGACACCAGACATATATTTATTGACAGTATTTGATGGTTATGGGTGGTTGTGATTTGGTCAAGTTGATTTTTTTCGATGTACAATTCCTTACTTTTTTTAGAGTGGTACTTTGTTATGTTAAAGATGCAAATTTGCTATTCAGGAAACACATTTTAATCATTTACCGTATCAGACAAATGATGGTTAGTATTTTGAAGATAAACACTAGGATTCTCATTAATGTCTATGTTGGAATAATTAGTAGATCCCCCATATACTCAAAGGCGATAAAAGAAAACTTGCTTTTTACTGAAACGACAGGTTGACAGAAGCATCTTGGAGTGTGGTCATTAGTGTGTCTACAATCAATGTCATGTTACTGTGTCAAATTAGTTAATGTCCCCTTAGGAGGGAAGTTGGACCTACAAATTATCTTCCTACATCCTTGGAAACCATGTTTGCTTAAACCTCTGATCAAGTGTGAGCAAATTATTAACATGGCTCATAAATTAACTAGTGTACAGGCTTATAACATTTTACAAGTAGATAATAAAGAAGAAGAAAGTTTTCCCATTACATCGTACTTATTTCATCTCTGTGATTATTGTGTCTTTGCTTAGCAGTGTACAATTGATTTTTTTTTTTGTTTTAGAGGAGAAGTGCATAAAATGTCAGAACAAGTATTTAGAAAATGTAGGACCAAAAAGGAAGCAAATGTAAATCCATTGAAAACAATATAATTAACTTTGTTATCTCAATGCTCTGATAAGTCCTTGACAATAGTCCTTCTTGTGTAGTAGCAGTTGTTCATTAATGAGTTCACCAATTAAGTTGGAAAGATTACAGCCTTTGCCAATGGGACTTATCTAGAAAAAGCATTTATTTTATTTTATTTTATTGTTACTATACCCTTACCAGGCTATAAGCCTCTTTGTAAAAGAGGAATAAGACTCACTCTTATGAATGTTAAATCCTATTAAAGTATAACGATTCTTAAACCATAGCAAAACGTGCAAATTGTTTACACACAGACAAAACCCATAGCTAGAAAACGTCCAAAGAAATCATTTGGCCAAACCCATGTCTTGTCAGTAAGGGATGGTAAAATGTAGTCCTACCTGTTGCCAAGATTAGGGATTCTGAGTAGTAGCCAGGGAAGCCACCTCAGTACTTGGTTTCTGGATATTAAGTGGCTACTCAAATCATAAAACTCAACTCTTCACACGCATCTCCTTTTGGTTTCAACTTTTTTGTCTGATTAGGTTTGAAAATTCACATTCACATTCACATTCATAGGCTTGCTTCTGCTTTTCCTGTTGAAAGAGAAGACCAGAATTACCACCACTGCCATCCCCCAACCACATATACAATAAGAAACCTACACTCAATGCTTTCTATTCATTATGTCGTTACATTCTCCCACATGCTAGAGAGTCTTCTATAACTTGACGGCTAAGTTCTGTTATCAACTGCAGAATCAGTGTAGAACAGCCTAGCATGCAGAAAAGTGTGCGATAGAAGCTGATTCACAAAAACTTTATGAAAGTACTTGAGAACTAGTTGACCTGTCAGCAACTTTAACTTACTTGGAAATGGATTTAGTAAATACTCTACTAATAACATAACTGAACTAGGTTAGCCGCAGCACCTCAGCACATACGCACGTGTATGCTTGCCAGTAACTCAAAGGGAAACCACCATGATGTTCTCTTGCCTTTTCATCATGTTTGGGACACTTGGGTAATAGTTACTCACTGGAGCACATACGAATTAAGAATCTAACTAGTGGGAGAAAATGCTGGTAGGAGTGAGGGGTGTCTGTTTGTTTTGAATATTCCTGCTACTAGGCATTCTCAGATCTAATTGTTTGGGGGAAACTAACCGGGCAACTTTGAAAGACTGAAAAACTGTGATCAATCAACTAGAATTCCAGAGGATTGACAAGAGAGCATGCTACCCATTTCCCAATACAGAGGTGATCAATTCAAAATGGAGACAGACAGACATTTTTGGACATGGCCATTGTGGGAATTTGTTTTCTTTGGTTATAAACATAGTTCTTTTACAAGAATCTGATTTTTTTCCCTTTTGCATTTAAATGGAAGTGGGGGATAAAGGAGAGAGAGAGAGAAAAATAAATGGTTTTTTTGAAAAAAACATTTTAAAAAGAAGAATTATGTGAGTTCATACTTATGCTGAATTAGCAAAATAAAACATTTCTGTCTTCATTCTACTTGTGAAAATATTTAATAAGAAAAATTCAGTTTGGGCAAATATATTTTTCCAAGGCAATAGGTAGATGTACCTATTTTGATTGTGGGAACTTTCATTCCATTTTATGCTACCATACTTCCAAGATAAATTCTTTATCATCAAGGTCTTCTTTCACATTACAAAGTTTACAGTAGAAGGTAAACTTTACAAAGTTTAAATAGAAGGTAAATCTATTCTAGAACTAATGATATATGATTAAGAAACATTAAACTACATAAGTTAATGTATCTTGCCTGTAAGACGTCCATCACTGGACCAACAACCTTATTGATCTCACTTCTTTTCTTTTCGTTTGCAGAATCTAGCTGTGTGTTGCTGTCCAACCGTACTATGCGTGCCACACAACAGTGATCCCCGACCTTTTTATGGCTGTGAGCCACTTTAAAAGTTCAGGGTAAGTGGTGAATCTCATTCACATTTCACATGTTGTAAATATTATAATATAGGTTTTGTTCCACAGATATCAAATGGGCCAAATGAGAGAAGAAAATATTGAAATGGCTCTAGCCAAGAAGTGAACCTCTTATAGTTAATTTCAAGGCTGACAGTGGCACAGATGAGTTTGTTGTCTCCTACCCTGGAACAGTTTCATGTTTTTATGGGTTAAAGTCTGTCATTTTATGCCAACCCTTTGCCTATGGAGGAAATATTTTAGGATAGAAAGAACCCCAAACCAGTAAACAGAAGGCCTGAAATGGACTGCGGCCTTCTCCATTTCATGGAACTTAGGATCTTGCTAATTTTGCAAATTCCTGTATTGACACATTTCTGTCTAGTGAAACCTCCCCCCCACACACACACACACCTGTTATTGCTACCACACCACTGTCATCTAACTTCCATCCTCCAGTTTATCTGATCCCTGTTATCTAGCATTATGTCCCCACACACAAATAACATTTCCCTCCTAAAACTTCTGGTTTTGTTTTGTTTTGTTTTGTTTTGTTTTATCTCTATTGAATTGCCTTACTCCTCTACAGACCTGCTCTAGGCCTGTTCACTCTCTTCTCTAGCTAATTTTACTAAGCTCTTCATAACCTTACCCTACTCCATTCTTACCTACTCTATATCCTCAAATGTTTTTTCAAAAATTTCTTTCGTGTCCCCATTTTCATTGAAATGAGACTTTTTCCATTGATCATGTTACTTGAAATTGCTCTTCAAAAGAGGCTACCTCTTTTCCTGCTCAGAATCATACAGGAAGAGGTATCGGTACATTCCTTATTTTTCCTTGCTACTATCCTCCCTTGTTAACCTTTCTTCCATCAAAGTACTAGAATCTCATCACAACATCTCTCTTCCCTTGCTGCTGTCCTGGCAGCTCCTAACTGCCTCTGGCTCACAGTTTGAGTCTCCATGCCTCTGCCATCATCCTTGAGGCCTTCAAGGATGACCCTTCTTAAATGTTCACTGCACAGTTTCTCAGCTCCTGTAGACTTCACCTCCATCCTCAGCTTTGTCCCAGCATGATTAAACCTTAGATCTCAGCATCTCATGGAGCTATACCTCCTTTATCCAAGATAGTGAACTTGAACATTCCTTCTGAACACACTTTTCTATCCTTCTACCTCTCCCTTTCTTTGCTCTTATCAGATCCTGAAGTTTATGTCCCCATCCAGCTAACCCATTTTATTTTCTTACTCTGATTTAACTTGTCACCAAGTCTAGTCTTGATTCTATGTTCAACTACTTTATAGAATCATAGAACCATGGATTTAGAGCTAGAATGAACCTTTTGATTTTACAAGTGAGGAAACTGAGGCCTAGAGAGATTAAGTGAATTCACTCACCAACTCCTAGATTCCTTTATTTTTAAACTTTTAGGCCCCTATTTGCTGATCCTGAATTCAAGCTACCTCTAAATATCCTATTTCTTTGTTCCTGAGTTGCTGCACATTGATGAAGGAAGTCACAAAATCATGCTGATTTTACCCAGTACACAACTAGACCACAAAACCTCAGCTAGCACCTGACTGCTACTTGGCAGGCTTGTTATTATTCTGCATTTATTGATTGCTTATCTTGTCCCCCATGGTGATTGTTCCTAACCTTTCTTCTTTGCTGATCTCTGACTATGGTTCTTCTTTCACAGTTACCACCAATTGTCTAGAATTCTAGTTCACTGGGAAGATAGAAGCCATCTGATGGGACTTTCTATACTCCCCAAAACTTTTCATCCTAATCACTTCTTATCACCTCCTCATTTCCTTCTGTTTCAGAGACAGACATTGCTGAAGCTGATCCCTTTTCCTCTGCCCTTGATACCATTCACCCCAGTCTCCTCCATAGCCTTGCTTTCGCAGTCACCATCTCTCTGTCATCCATCTCCAGTCTCTTGCTCTCCCACAAGTTCCTTTGCGTTGAGCCACACGACTGGGCTTCTTAGCCCTGTCCCGAACAAAGTTGACCAATCAATGTTTCTTCTCTCTATAACTATTGCCAATTTGTCTTTTGTTGTGTGGCGGAGTTTTTGGGGAAAAGAAAGTGTACGTACCAGAATTCACCTTCTACTCTAGTCTTGTTGCTGTCTCCACCTGAGCTCCATTGCTACCTCACCAATTGCCTATTTGACCTTTCAGATGGATTGTCCTATAGGGATCTCGTTATGGCCCAAACAGAACTCATTGGCTTCCCCCCTAAGGACACCCATCTTTCAGACTTTCCTATTTCGACTGAGGCCACCACCACCATCCTTCCAGCCTCCTATGTCCACAGCCTGGCTGTCATATTTACCTTATTGCTTCCCCTCACCTGACATACCTAATCTTATCTGTCAAATCTTGCTGTTTCTGCTTCCCCAACATCTCCTGCACCTGTCCCCTCCTTCCTTCCTCACTGCTCCCACAGCCACTGCTTTAGTTCGTGCAGGCTCTCATCACTGAACTGTTGTAGTAACCTTCTGGTTGGTCTCCCTGACTCGTCTCTCCTCGCTCGAATCTATCTTTCACACAGCTGTCAAAATAATTTTCCTTAAGCACAGTTCTGACCATCTCTCTTCCCTATTCAATAAACTCGAGTATTTCTCTATTGAGGGAAGCTAGGTGGTACAGTAGATAGAGCACTGGGCTTAGAATCAATGAAACTCATCTTCATGAGTTCGAATCTGGTCTCAGACACTAACTGTGTGACCCCAGGCAAATCTCTTAACCTGTTCTCCTCAGGGGACAACCAATGTAAAGACACCTATCTGCAAAGTGGGGCAGCTCAGTGGTACAGTGGACAGAGTGCTGGACCTGGAGTCAAGAAGGCTCATCTTCCTGAGTTCAAATCCAGCCTCAGACACTTACTAGCTGATTGACCCTGGGCAAGTCACTTAACCCTGTTTGCCTCAGTTTCCTTATCTACAAAAGAGGGATGTGTAGCATAATAAATGACTACTAAGTTCTCTTCCATTCCGCCAAATTTTATGATCACATTCCCTACCAAGTAAAGTCCAGGCTTCTTTGCCTGACTTTAAATGCATTCCTAGTACCAACCTACCTACCTTTTTAAACTTATCTATCATCTTCTTCCCTTCCACCAATTCTATTCTCTAGCCAAATTAGTGTATTAGATATCTTTTCCATGGCCCCTTAATTTTCTGACCTTTTTGCCATCATTCACTGTTAGCTTTTCCTCAAATATTCTCTTCCTGTTGAAATCCTACCCATCCTTAAAGAGCAGTTCAAATGCTACCTCCTTCATGAAGTCCTCCCTGATCCTTTGATTTGGTAATGGTCTTACCCAATTCTTGGAATACTTTGTGCCTCTTAACTTATATACTGTATTTTATTATGATTATTTGTATTGTATTGTATTATGTTGTATTATAGTAATCTGTATAGGTGGCCTCTTCTTGTATTAGACCATAACAATCCACTAGGCCCAACTCTTACCTAAACTTTATTTCCCTCCTAACACCAAATACAGTGGTCTTCAAATAGTAGGCCTCTAAAAATGATTGGTAAATTGAATGGGCCTATCATTGACTCTCTCTTAGATTTTCTTCATTAAATAAAGCGCCCAGCCTATTTATCAAAGTTGTCGTGAGTTAAAAGAATATCTATAAATGTGCTTTGAAAGCTTAAATCACTCTACGGAGTCTTTTATGCAACCAGTTGAGTTCCTCAGATAATCTACACTTTTTCACTTTCACTCACACTGGCTATCATTAGCTAAATGAATGCGGAGACAGGCTAACCTACCCTCTAAGGGATGTGATTGGTCTGTCAGGTTTTATAGTCTTGGATTATGGAGAGGCATTAGAAATGACACAATTTACATATCATTTGTAAGAGGATGAGAGTATGTGATATATAATGGGCTAAAGATCAAAGACCAAAAAAAGGAAGAACAATTCAGTTCCTAAATTGTTTTTCTATGGAATGTTCTCTATTCTGTTTCTTCTACCTGCTTTATAGCCATTAGTCAGTGTGTCTTTTGGACTGATACAAATATTTTTAAATTTCACAACAGGAAGTGAGCTTTAGCAAATATGGTTTTGGAGGGGGGTCGGTTACAACACTAATTAAAACAGAAACCTATAATTTAACAAGCGATAATTAACTTTGAGATTAAACTAGATAATACCACAATTAATGAATTTTCCAATTGTTTTTCCCTTAATGAAAAACATTAGCTTGTATTTGGTCGGTAGCCATTTACATATGTGTGGTAGTAGGATGGGGTTGGGGGTCAGGGCTAAGGACTGAATGGTAACCATCTAGCAAAGTAATTAAGGTTCTACTTGCACTAATATCGTCAACTATGCTCATTTGTTTCTTTGAACCCAGTTTCCCTGATTTCATTAAAATCATTGGTGCCTGTCAATAAATGATAATTTGTTTAAATTTCACATCTTTTTTTCCTGGTAGGGGCCCAACTGTAGTCAACATTTTAGCACAGTAATAACAATTTTAATTAAGCAAAATGTAAGATATATGTAGGGTATTATCTGAAGTTGAACCAAACCAGTGATTATCATACACAGTAGCACTATAAATCACCCCCAATTTCATAAATTTGGCAAAGGTTCTTCCCTGCAGTGCATAGTAGAATATTTTTATTCTTTAATAATAACATAGGGTGGTAGCAATAATGGTAGCTAGCATTTATATAGGCTTTACATTTTGCAAAGTGTTTAACCAATGTTATCTTATTTGATTTTAACCACCCTGTGGGATAGGTGCTATTATTATTGTCTCCCTTTTACAGATGAGTAAATTGAGTCTGAGAGAGATTAAATGATTTGCCCTGGGTCATACAGCTAGTTCATGTCTGAAGCAGAATTTGAATTCCAAGTCTTTCTGATTCCCATGAGACCCTTAGCTGCATACTGGGTAGAGGTCCAGGAGACTTGGCTTAAAATTCCAACTTTACCATTTACTAGCCATAGTGACCTGTGCAACTTCACTT